CAGATCCCTTTCTGTGGCACTGCTTTTCAGCATCTCATTCCCCAGTCCATATGTACATCCAGGGTTGCTCTGTCCCAAGTGCAGAATCCAGCATTTTCCCTTGTTGAGCTTCATATGGTTGGTGATTGCCCAGCCCTCTAATTTGTCAAGGTCTCTCTGCAGGGCCTCCCTGCCTTTGAGGGAGTCAACAACTCCTCAGATTTGTGTCATCTGCAAACTTGCTTAGTATTCCTTCCAGTCCTGCATCCAAGTAATTTATGAAGTTGTTGAAAAGCACAGGGCCTAAGATGGAGCCCTGTGGAACCCCACTAGTGATAGGTCACCAGTCTGATGTTACCCCATTCACTATTACTCTCTGTGCTCAACGCATGACCCAATTGCTCACCCACCACATGATGTGTTTATCAAGCTGTGTGCTGGACGTTATGTCCAGAAGGCTCCTGTGAGAGGCAGTATCAAAAGCTTTACTGAAATCCAAAAAGATGATATCAATTGGCTTCCCTTGATGAACTAGGTGGGTTACCTTGTCATAGGAGGAAATCAGGTTTGATAAGCAGGACTTTCCTCTCATGAAGCTGTGCTGGCTGTGACCAATGACTGTGTTGTATTTCAGGTGTTTTTCAATATTTCCCAGAATAATCTTCTCCCTGACTTTACCAGGCACTGAAGTGAGACTGACAGGCCTGTAGTTTCTGAGGTCCTCCTTCTTGCCCTTCTTGAAAATCAGGACAACATTTGCCAGCTTCCAGTCCTCTGGGATCTCTCAGGATTCCCAAAACTGCTCAAAAATCATTGACAGAGGTTTTTGATTTCATCAACCGGCTCTTTAAAGATTCTGGGATGAATCCCATCAAGCTCCATAGATTTGTAGGGATCCAGGTGGAGCAACAGATCCTGCACAGTTTCAGGGTTGACTGGAAGTGGATCATTCTCACAGTCATGATCCTCCAGCTCAGGGCACTGAGACCCAGTTGGTCCACCATCCGTGTTGAAGGCAGAGGCAAAGAAAGTGTTAAACACCTCTGCCTTGTCTTTTCCCTGTTTGGGCGGTGACCATCCTCTTCTTATAACAGGCCAATGATATTTCTGTAGTGCCTATTGCCATTAATATATTTGAAAAAACTCCTTTTATATGTCCCCCACATTTCTGTCCAGCTTCATCTCCAGCTGAGCTTTGGCCACACAAATTTTCTCCCTACAGCAGCAAGCAACATTTCTGAATTCTTCCCATGTCACTTGACCTTTCTCCCACTGGGCATACACCTTCCTTTTTTGCCTTATTTCCAAGAGAAGACCCCTGCTTAGCCAAGCTGGCCTTGTGCCTTGCCTGCTTGACTTCTGACATTTGGGAATTGCCTGCTCCTATACCCTTAGGAGGTGATGTTTGAAAAGTGACCAGCACTGATGGACCCCAGCACCTGCAAAAACATTTTCCCAGGGGACCTTCCTTACTAATTCCCTCAGCAGCCTGAAGTCTCCTCTCCTCATGTCCAGAGTTGAAGTTTTGCTGGTATTTTTCCTCCTGTCAACAGAGATTTTAAACTTGATCCCTTTGTGGTCGCTGTGGCCAGGACAGCCACCAATCTCCACTTTGCTGAGGAGATCCACTCTGTTGACAAACAGCAGATCAAGGAGGGCATCTTTCTGAGTCATCTCCCTTAGGACCTGTTCCATAAAGTTGTCGTCTAGGTTTTTAGGAATTTTCTGGCCCGGGTTGTACCAGCTGTGTGATGCTCCCAGTTGATTTCTGGCAAATTGAAGTCTCCTGTAAGGACAACACAGAGAACACCAATACAGCTCAGAATGTGCTGTGGACCTGTCCTGCAAGTAGGGTGAAACTGTTCACCAAAGCAGGTCTTTCAGATCACTTTGGTTTTGGGGAATGGCAAAAAAACTGCCAGACAAGATATCTTCTGGGTGACTTCCAGCTGATACTGACACTTGATTTAGCGTAATTTGTAAGTCATAGTGTCTGTGGGTAGCAGCACCTGGAAGTAGGCATTGCAGAGACAGCTGTGATCTGGCCATGAGCCTGTAGAAGGGAATTGTGTTAAGCTGTGGAAGTCTGAGGAGTTGCTTCTAAGGGCCTGTGAAAGGGGAAAAGAACAACTCAGTAGATTTGCACCAGCTTTATATGTATGTCTGCATGCACTGGAGAAGAGGTTCAGAAGGTCCTAAATCAAAAATTACCAAATGCCAGTTGTGCATGGAACTGAACTGGCAACTTGTGTCTGTGCATTTTTTATATGTGGATTGATGTGTGTTTTAATTTGCTGGTTTTTAAAGCGATTTCTTGGTGGGTTGCTTTCCATCACAACCCTGCTACTCTGTCACCAGAAATGCCACCTGAAAATATTAGTGATTGACAGTGTTTTATACGCAGAAATGACAGTGAAATATCAAAATGAGAGATGTGAGACACTACCTACAATAACTGCAGACTTTAGTAGAACTTATATCCAGAATTGAGATTACTTTGTTTGGAATGTACATCATGATTTCACAGTGTTTATCCATGTTTCTCATGACAGATTTGTTCTCTCATCAACTGATCCCTTAATGTTTAGCATTTATTTATACCATGAGTAACAGAGCAGCTGCTCTATGGGACAACTCTTTGTAATTGCAGACTGGCTGCTCTGGGGTGGTTTGTTGTATTACGTTTGAAGTGCCACTCACAGTAAAGATGAGAGAAGGATGGTAATAAGTATTATAAACATCCTTCTAATGGCCACATAACTTCAGATATTTATTGACATTCTGGGTTTATTTTCTTTTACTGAAACTTGGATAATAAAATTTTCTGTACTGAAAACAGTCAGCAGAATGCATCTGTTTGTTTGTCAATATAGTTTATTAAGAGTGTAGCAAAACTAAGTGGCACTCTGCAGAGTAGGACAGATGGACTGACACAGTCACTAAAGCTGGCCTGAGAAGACGTCTCTGTTCCAGGGTGTGCCTGAGGCTCTTGAGGTCCTGCTAGAGTTCACTCCCTTCAGTACCCAGACTTTACTTTTCTGCCAGGATTGCTTATGTAAAAAAACCCATTCTAATAGGTCCTCCTTTTCTTCTGGTGGATTTCAGAGCTCCAGGGGAGCATCTGTCCATGCCAGTGATTTAGTAGTGTGTTTGGATTTTAAGTTAGTGGCAGGAGGCCTCTTTACCAATGGATCCTACAGTCTAAATTTCCTCCCTATTCATGTTATGTGGATGAACTCTTGGAAGCACAATTGCACAGGGAATGTTGTGGGAGACTCTTCTGGCACCTCTGTTTGCATAGCTGCTACAGTATGCGCCCGGCTGCCCTCTCAATGGTTGTAATTGTGCTTCCATGCGTCACATCTGCCCATGTGTGTTCTGGGCTCTAGCAAGACCAGCCCTGTAATTGCATGCCACAAGAAATTATGGCTTGGAAGACTAAAATTAAATTTAGTGACTAATAAAAGATAAATTGGAATAAATCCTATGGATTTGAATCTGGTAGCTGAAAACTGCAGTCTTATTTATTTGAATGCCAGAAGTGTAAATACTGGATGAAAGTAGAAGTAAAACTTAAGTTTTAGTACAAGGTTGAGTGGAGAAGTTCTGTAAGTTACCTACAGGTTGAGCTGCTGTCTGTTACCTTTCTATGAATGAAGCAGGTTCTGGCATCTAGGCCTGTCAGTGAATGAGGTCTGAAGCATCTAAGATGTATCTAGAACCCCTAAACTGTCTAACAGCACTTCCATGCTGTATGTGCTTTGATTTAGATATCATGTTGATTAGTCTACAAAAGTATTGAGGTTTTTACCTAATATGCTGGTTTGGGCTGGGATGGGTTTAATTTTCTTCACATTAGATAGTATGGGGCTGTGTTCTGGATTTGTGCTGGAGACAGTGTTAGTTGTTATTGCTGAGCTGGGCTTACACAGAGTCAAGGCCTTTTCTGCCTCTCACCCCACCCCACCAGCAAGGAGGCTGGGGGTGCACAAATGTTGGGAGGGGACTCAGCCAGGACAGCTGACCCCAACTGACTAGAAGGATATCCCATGCTATATGGCATCATGCTCAGCATATAAAACTGTTGGAAGAAGGAGGAAGGGAGGGACATTTAGAGTGATGGCATTTGTCTTCCCAAGTAACCATTAGACGTGATGGAGCCCTACTTTCCTGGGGATGACTGTACACCTGCCTGCCCATGGGAAGTAGTGAATTAATTCCTTGTTTTGCTTTGCTTGTTGTTTGCAGCTTTTTCTTTACCTATTAAACTGTCTTTATCTCAATCCATGAGTTTTCTCAGCTTTTGTCCTTCCGATTCACTCCCCCATCCCGCTGGCAGAGAAGTGAGTAATGTGTAATGTGGGGCTTAGTTGCTGGCTGAGATTAAACCATGGCATCTATTCATTGAATTAATGAATATATTTTTATTATTCAGGGAACACCAGTATTCGTTCACGCTGGACCTTTTGCTAACATTGCACATGGAAATTCTTCTGTTTTGGCAGATAAAATTGCCCTTAAATTAGTTGGAGAGAAAGGATTTGTAGGTAAGTAATTATTTGGTTTATTATGTTATGATTTGTTGGTAAAATGACAAACAGTAATGTAAGTGAATGGAAAAATTAGCAATGAAAGGTAAGAATTCTACTTTATTATTAATATCAGCATAAAATAATCTTAAAGTGAATGTGTAAAAAGCCAAAAGCACTTCTCTTACCGTGCCCTTTGTCTCAAGTGATCCTATCATCATGTTCGAGACTCCACAAGGTAGCTGAACCAATCAAATGACTGTATAGTATTGAACGAGTTGTCCTGTTGTTCATTGTATTAGTATCCATTTGACCTCACTTGATAACCAACAGAAACCATTCTTTTTTCCTGATGAATTATTTCTCTGCCAGTTCAGCAGACTCAGCCAAATAAGAGGTCAGATGACCATGAGCCAGTGCAGAGGAACAGCGAAGGCAAGGTGGTTGAAGAAGGAGTAATACTGCCTCATTTTGATGGCTGTGAGCCATTAGGTTACTCCAGCTGCATTGTCAAACCTTGTCATGAGGCCCTTAAGTTCCCATAAAAGCATTTGACTGGACGGATTCTTTTTATATTAGGAATTCAGCCTGGACAAGCAGCAATACACATATAGAACTTATGGTTGCAGGCAAAAAAAACTTGTGGCTGAACGATGAACTAGCTTTAAAAATTGTCATGTGTGTTTAAACCTTAGAATTAATAAAATAAAAGGAGTGTTGCTGCTTTGCAGTTGTAATGACTTTGCACTGCTGCAGCCTTTCTCTTCTGTGTCCTGAACACCCAGATTGGCTTCCATTAGTCCTAAAGTTGGAGTTCGAGTATCTGTGAACAGTGCTCTTGAAGAGGTGCAGTAATGTGAAACATGAGGTTTCTAATGCTAGCACGCTTAAACTAGTAGAGAAACATTTATGTATATGCTTATGTCATACCTTCACGTTGCTATAAATGACATAAAGAGAACCAAATAACTTGAAAGTAAGTTTTTTAAACAGAAAGTCTGTTCACATTTAAATTCATTGGTAATCATAAAAAAGATGAGTTGTTTGCATTGTTATAGAATGTGTATACTTTTTGTTATGATACAAATCAACCTATATATTTACAGATTGAGAATAGAAAGGTTTCTTATAAGAAATTATTGATTACTAAACAAAAATATAGAAGGAAATCTTAAAAACTAACAAAAATGTAAATAAAACAAAGTAAAAATAAAGGATTGAAACCTGTAGTAGATCATATTGACTTTGAAAAAATCCCAAAGAAATATGTCACTTTGGTATTCTCTGAATAACAACAAAATGGGTGTTCAACTAGAAATTTTATTATTCAATGATCTTGAAGGCTTTCTTCTTTTTAAACAGTACTTGTTGATTTTCTGTTTTCTATTTTACTTGTTTATTTCTATAGAATTAAGTTTCTGATCTCCCTAAGCATTCTGTGCCTTGAATTTTTTTTTAAATCCTTGGGGTTTTTTTAAATGGAGCAGCAAAGTTCACACAATGATTTTTAGATCCTTGTTAGGATATTTTTAACAAAATTAGTTCTTAGAGTCAGTTTTTGCTAACCTCTGCCCTTCTGATTCAATATAATTTGCAAAGATTGTTGCATATTTGCATGTGATATTTTTTTAGCAAAGAGTGTTCTTGGGGAAGATTTGATTCAGTATTCCACTCTCACTTCTTCTGTTGAGGTTAGAGTAGCTAGGAAAATGCTGACCTGTGTAAGAAAATAGATCATTACTGTTAAGGTGATGAAACATGAGGTTTTCAAGGTAGTCTGGGCACATGTTATGTGTTTGCATTTCCTTTTTTAAATGCATGATCATGTCAAGGGAAAGGGTTGTTTTTTACAGTGTTACTGTTGCACAACTAAAGGGTCTGTTTATTTCACTCTAATATAATCAAACATCCATTCAAAGAAGAACATTTTGCATTCTGAATACATTTTTTAATGGTAATCAAATTGATATTTCACTAAGCCGTGTTTGTTGTTCCATGGCTCTGTGGAATGAGACCTATAAGCATTTAGAGTAACTAACATTTTTCATAAGCCTGGTGAAGTGACTTTGTTTCTGCAGTGAGCAATCTTTTCAAGTGGGAAGTCTGTTTTGCATCACTTGAATGAAAGTATGTTGGCAACAGTCTTGAGTCTTGATACAGGTTTTGGAGCCTGAAATATCACCTTGGATTTGGATTCCCTTCCATTCAGCGTGTCCCTCAGGAACTGAGAACGTATCCATGCATTTCTTGCTTTTTTGTGGTCTTATCCACCTGTTTGTCTTTAACACTCTTTTCTGTTTTATTTGTCTTTGGCCTGAGTTTCTCTGTTGGGAGACAAAGCAGCATAGCTTCAATAGAGGAAAACCTTTGTGCATTGCCAACTAAAGGCTCTTGTTCAGATTTTATTCTACAGAACACAAATCCCTGTGAAACTGATTTCAGAACAGGACTGCCTTTGCTCTGTGGAAGAAAGAACTTTAACATGATCCTTGTTAGATTATCAAAAGCAATAGTTCATAGAGTGGCCTACTTAAATAAACTTTGCAGATAGTCACAAGTGTAAATGTTTGTTCTAATGGTTGTAATTACTGTAAGCTTTATGGTTTCAAAAAATACATTTATTCTGGTAACTAGTCAGAGCATGTGGGCAGAGACCACATGTAGAACTCACTGGTTTATTAAATACTGTTCTATTCTACCCTACAAAACTGGAGTCTAAAATGACAGCTACAAAGTGTCCCGTGTTGAAGGTCCCATCCATACAAACAGAGAGCCCAGTGCCTTGTGAATTCTGCACGGCAAAGCAGTTAGCAAGAAACTCCACTGCTTTCCTGCTTAGTGTGGAGTTTGCCTGAACCCATTATGGCCATTGAAACTGGATGGGGAAAGCTGATCCTGCAGTTAATTCAGACAGACAGAGTGCAGGCCAGCTATGCGGCAGTTGGATAACTACCTGAACAAGTTTAGTTACTCACTCTTGTTAAAAGTAAAAATTTTCGCTGTTCCACATTTCCCTCGTCACTGTTCTCATGCATTGGATCTGACACTCATTAAATCTTGTATGAGCGATTAGAGTTCGCATTCTGCCATGTAGGTTACTTGCATAAGCTCATAAAAAAACCTAAGAGGTGCTAGAAATAGCGTAGGGTAGCTGGCAGAACCATGTGGCTAGGAGAGGCATTTTAGGGAGCACAGGCTAAGAGACTGGCTCTCAGCCTTATGCAACTGCATCCAAAGCAGGAACATAAGATGCATAGTCTGCAATTAAATTAATTTCCTGTATAGTAGAATAAATATCTTAATATATGTGTGTTATCTCACCATGAGATAGGATGATGATTTATAAGTCATATATGTAATTTCTATATTTATCGGTTTATGTATTTAGTATTTATATCTATTTTTAATTTATTCTTTTATTTTTTACTTTTACCATTGTTATTTTAGAGCAGAATCTCCTGCTAAATTTGAAGACTATTAAGGAGAATAGCATGGCTTGAACTTGCAGCACAGTTTTACAAATATAGACTTTTTAAATTTTCTGTCCTGGTTTAAGCACCCTCCTTCCTCCTGCTGCTTGTTTACAGTCCTGCGCAACCCCTCTCTTTCACCAGCACACCTGTTCATAGCTTATCCATGTGATAAGCTAAACTGGAGAGTTCTTCTTGACTGAAAACAACTACAACAAAAAAAATCTCTTTCCTTCCCCCTTGCAAGACAGTGTTTGGGCAAACAGTTTTGTGTGACCGGGAAAGATGAGATAATGCCACATAAGATGGTATTTTTGCTGAAATAAATATTTATAATATTATAGTCTCATTTGGAGATCTAAAGTGCCAGTAAAGCTACTGTGGATGCACTAGCTAATCAGACTGAGCCTGCATTGCCAGAGCAGCTAAATCTATCTCCTTTCTCAGCCTTTGCTCAACTGTTTTTGCATGACATCCTGGCAGAAACCTATCGCCCTTTTTGTTGGCTTACTTTTCTGCTGACTTAACACAGAAGCAGTTCAGCCCAGAGTCACAAAAACACCAGAGCTGGTGCAGGAGAGGGTGAGTTGGGACAGCCAGCAGTGAAAAACCAATCTGTCATGTAGATCCCATGTTTGTGTGCCATGGCCAAGGCAAAAAAAAAAAATCCTCTCAAGAAGTTCTTTTCAAATTTGTTTTTAAACCTTACTTTCTCTCTCTGGCCTGCATTGCCTGTTTCTCTGCTTGCTCTGCAGCCTAAATTGCAGCATACTGTGCCTTTTGAGTAGTGTCAAGTAGCAATAATGTAGACAGTCTGTTTAAAAAAAAAAAGGCAAGCAAAGTTTAACCATTGAGTCCTGTTGTGAACTCTCCCTAGTTGAAGGCATTCCCTGCTTCAGTTTCAGGTATCCAAGTGAATCACAGGCCCTCATTAAGTTTTAGATAGCTTAAGCCTTTTAGCGCAGCTTGTTCTTTCTCTCTTCCCTGAGCCTTTTTGCTACGTACTGACAACTGAGTCTTTTTCTCTAATTTTGAGTTCTTGGTACGAGTTTTGCTACTGAACTTTTCATGCAATACCTTGGCTGGTTTGCACTTGTTTGTCTTGTCAGCCTTTTACTACTTGGGACTTGTTTCCCTGCAGATTCCTCCCCACCCTTGCTACAAGTGTGTCCCACTGAGAACGGGTGCATGATGCAGGCATCCCCTGCACTGGAGAGCATCCTTGCTGATGGCCCGGGAAGTGGTACCCCGGGGAATGTTGAGTGTACCCATCATCACAATTGCCATCAGAGTTTTGTGGTCTGTCACACACCTTTTTAGCCCCTCTGGCAGCAGCCTGAAATCTGTTTCTCGCATTTCATTTTCCTTTTGAAGGAAAGGTTGCCTAAGCTGGCCTGGTTAACTGATTCTATGTCACTTGGTTTTGATGCACCTTAATTCTTAAACAGTGAAGAAAGTTGACGTCTCAGCAGTGGCAGGGAAAGGAGCTTGGCATTAGGGCTGAATCCTGTATTACAAATAAGTGGGGAAGTATATATGTATTTAAGC